GATATAAATTGTGATGTATTAGCCTGTAGAAGAATCACCGCAAACGAGCTTGTTCGCTACCTTATGTTTTCTCACAATGAGTATTGATGATATTTTGAGACTCTATATATTTATGTACAACGCGGCGTTTGTTGTACAGGTTAAGAAGTCCATTCAGGTTTTCAGTCCCACCTACGGTAAACTGGATATTTGTATGGGCACAACCGCATATTGTGAGTAGTTTCTGGCTCTCGACGAAACACTCTGTGTCATTCACGTACCATTTATTTTTTGTAGTTCTCATTTTTGAGTGGAGGCTTTTTAAAGTGTTGTTGCCCAGAAATATCCTGAAGAACGGTCTGTCTACAAACCGAGTCCCCTAACGTACGTTTCGTGAGTTCAGCTGCTCTGGGTTCCGATTTGTTTACAAGCCGTCTAGCTAGCTCGTGGTCAAGTTAGTTACCCATGTCGTATATATGAACCAGGAGACAGTATTTATCTATTTTCGGTAGGCGAATTCGCTCGAATGTCGTCCCATCCATCGCATCACTTCAGGTGTCCAGAATAGTCAAACAACTTTTCGGTCGCTTTTCCCGTCCTCGTTAAGTTTTCCGGACCCTATCTGTTATCCCGGAGAGAATGAATTCCATCCTGGCTCTATGCTCCACCTTGTTCATATTGACCATACTCCTGCACTGTTATGTGGTGTGGAAATTTTAAAGTCCGACTTCTGATGCAACTGTTTTCCAAGCTTCCGGTGCTCTTTTTTTTTGTTAGCAAACTCCAAGTTATCTACACATTTCCGTGAGTTTTTATATCATTCGAATAGGTAGACTTCAGCTTTGCAAAGTCTGAAACTGAAGATGATGTCCTTTGTGAGCAGGCAAATTCTCAAATTGGGCTTCCTGGTCTAACTGTTTGATTTTTCTTTCCAGACAATAAAATCATGGTCCTAATTACGCGAACTTTCGTTTTATGTTTGTCCAATACAATCAAAAAGATTGACTATTCACAAATGCTTCCGGATTTTTCGATAACTCACCGATAGTTAGATCTGCTAGAGTCTATTGTACTTGTGCGCAACAGCAATTTATAGCCTCCCAGGGTCTTTCACCTACCGTATGCTCCCTTGCTCATCCGAATTTTCTTTCGATCCGAATTCATTCGCCAAATCGGAAACAAAGTCATGGCATTGTTTTGAAGTTTGTTTTGTTTTATTATTATCATTTGTGTGTGTGAGTGTTTGCTTTTATCACCCCACTCCTACCCTCTTTTGTTTGACCCTATTTATACAAACCGTGATCTAATTAGCGAGAAAAAAGTAGACTACCGAAAACAAGTATTGTTTGCTATATTGTGTTTTTTTTTATTCTAATACTATTTGCGAACTGTGTCTAGGAGAAACTCAGTCAATTCAGTCGAAGCTCTGAAACCACCTTTTGGCGCTTGATCGAGTCATTGTTCACTGAACATCACTAGATTTACGTTACTCCAGTTCTACATACGACAGAGACGCATCGATTGGGCAAATTGTTTTTTTTTTCCTCTTTCCCGTAATCGCATTGAGAAAGCTAGTCGGTTGGCGACTAGTTGTTTTTTGGATATTCCTATTCCGGGCGGTTGTGACCCGGTGGTAACGTCACCAAATTATCACCCCGGTGATGCGTGTTCGAATCCCACCACCAAGACCGCCTGACTTTCCTTTTTTGTGTGTATGTGTGTGCGTGAAGGAACGTTTACTGTATCACTTGATGTGACTTTTCTCCACTTGGGTCAACTGACACGTCATGTTCTGTTTAGGTTTTCACACACTGGGCCAGAGCAATTGAAGCGCTTGAACCAGTCGTTTTGGGCACACAGATTGGAACCTTGAATTGAGCCATTGGTTGTCATTCTGGAAGCATTTTTTCACTTTATGATATATAAGAGAATGACATGTGGATCTTATTAACATGTGTACGAATCTATCCCTACATGTGTCAGCTTTTTGATTGAAATTCCCATTTGATTACGACGTTCTTCCAGTTACCACGCTCGCATTGGCTTGTCGCTTTGCTACTGGCTATGGTAGAGATAACGTGCCTGGACGAAACACTTTTGATTGCATAATGGAATGGTCAAGCAGTTTGATCACGATTACTTCTGCCAGAAGATAAAGCGTTCTGATTTAGATGATAACAGTGGAAACCCGGTGGATGCATCACGAATGAAGTGTCAGCTCTCATACAGAGAGCTCGCTTGGCATTCGCCAACTTAAGACATCTGTGCTGCTGTCGCGACATCCGGCTGTCTGTGAAGGGTCGAGAGTAGGCTGCAGCAGCTCAACCAGTTCTACTCTATGGTTCATCTGTGAAGCGTCGAGTGTATGCCGCGACAGTTCGGCCAGTTCTGCTATACGGTGCAGAAACTCCATTAAGAAAACAGGATAAAGATAGACTGTCGGTGTTTGAACACCGCTGTCTACGCAGCGTTGCACGAATCTGATAGGACAGCCGGACGAACAATTTTGAGGTTAGGCGCAAAGTTTTAGGCAACCGCGGTCGCCCACTGGAGCAAGTGGTCGACCTCCATTGATTGCGTTGGCTGGGACATGTGTTACGCATGTTACCAGATAGGTTGCCGAGGCCGGTAGTGGGTGGAATAAAGCCAAGGGTGGTCGTGGTAAGACCTGGCATGAGGGTATAAAAACCCTAACCAGGAGTCTAGGTCACAGGTCCTGTTAAGCTCCCTGGCTGGGGACCTCGGGATGGTCGTAATCGATGGCTGGGTGTCGTAAACAGTGGCGTTTGTGCATCTTGTCATTTTATCTGCTTCATTGGTCCACTGAACTGTTGAATTTTCTCTTCGATCCTACTTTCAACGTTCCTGTTCTCCTCCTATTGTTCACTCAAATGGGCAGCCAAAAGATAGCAACCAAAAGCATCTCACGGAAATGCAAGCTCAATGGTTGTTTAAACTGAAAATAACGTTGGAATACGATAAACGGTCGTGAACACTCGACATACGTCCATTTGATGATTACTTTCAAGTAGGCGTTGGCATATCGCACTTTTCGCTGTCCTCGTTTCTTGCATAATTCGAATAGTTCTTGAAAAGAACTGATTGTCTATCGTGTTTCATTGTTTAACCTGAATCGGGCATTTGGAACTGATCTGTTTCTATTCGTTCATAGTACCACTCTCGTGTTGCAGAGAGCCTGTCCCATTTCATCCGCTCACATGGCTCACACGTTTTATTTGAATTCCAGCTTCCCTGTCTCCGATGGCTTGATGTGCGGGGCATACCGCTGAGCGATTCGGACGCCCAGTCCCTCACACATGCTATACGTTCTCAGGCCATGAGTTGCCGAGCGGAAATGAGCAAATTCTCCAAATTTCAACAGGCCAATCAACGTTTGACGGAATCCGCCCCGCTTGAGGATTCCACCAACGAGCAGTCTGCACTGTCTCATGGATCCAAATTGGTTGCCGAGCTGAAACGGTTGGCCACCTGTCCAACCCATGCGGCAATCCAATGCGAACAATGCTTGTCACAAATTCCCTACCAAGGATTGCACGGGCTGCATTTGGGTTCGACAAAAATTCGTGATTTGGCCCTCTCCCGATTGATCAGCAGTGTGCGTCTCTCATCTATCTGTGATTTGCGATTAACCGAGAACCAACTGACCCCGTCCGATGCCGTGTTCCTGATCCCATTGTTGCGTTTCGGCGCCGCATTGCGCTACCTCGACCTGAGCCGAAATCGTATCGGAGTAAGTGCCGTACTCACGATAGGTGTGGTTGTCCCTAAACTGATGTTTTTTCATCTGCACAGGATGTAGATAAAACATACTTACACGAGGGACCATCCAGATATAGTTAACCAATGCAATACACCAGGATCACCCAATCCCATCGGTATCTATCGTGTTACAGATTTAATCGAACTAGCTCTTTGCCTGGGGGTTATTCATCAATTATTTTTCAACCTCGGTGATATTGGAACCCCATGGAACCACTCATGACCGTTGTCTAGGCTTTTGTACAGCGTACAAATCTAGCTAGTGTATTCTTTTTTGTTGGAATGTGTAGAGGACACGCCGATAAATAATAAATGATAAAAAATGCTTTTATTCCCTGTTTTGTTTATTGAGCATAAAAATGTACAGTAAAGTTTGCAAGAAGCGTACCGCTGCCATACAAAGCGCACTTGAGAGATTAACAAGTGCTGCTACGCCATTCGGTAAGTGCTTTGCATCTTCAAAGTGCAAAGCGATGCTCTAAGACTAGGTGTTAACTAGTCCTGCTTGAAAACCGAATGCCGTAGAAATGGCGTTTCGCTGAATTTAAAAGGTCGTGTATATTGTGCTAGCGCTCGTTCAATGCTGCCTTACGATTGTGAGACCTTCAATTTACGAGTGGAAGAACTCTATCTACTGAAGGTTTTCGATTATCGTAGATTGACGCACGTGTGATGAAGCGAACGAGTTAGTAATGTGGAGCTAAATCGTCGTGTGTTTGGAAGTTTATCGGGAATAAATTTGTAGCGGGCCTCGAATTCAGATCAGTAGGCTTTGCTTGTTGTTAAGGCACGTTTTTGTGCATGTCCAAATCTCATCTACCGCTTCCCCATCCTGTTTATTTGCTGTAGCCTCTCCGGGTTGGAAGAAATCACGTAGAGGCCAACAAATGACGTGGAGATGAGACATGAAGAAATGCACAGAGCTGTTAGACAGATTAGGTGTCTCTGACCTTCCAGGTTGGGGTCCGAAAGACTCCAACTGAAGTTTCCAGATTTGGTATGTGCTTTGTACCATCCAAGTGCAAAGTAACTGCACAAGACTGGCAGGAGCCAGTGCATACACTCACCTTTTCTGGTGATCAGAGAGTAGTCGAGAGCT